CCCAAGGTCCTGCCCAAATGAGCTGCTCTGCCTCTATGGTCAGTTTCTGCTGGAGCTTCTGCCACTGGTCTCCTTGGCCCAGGAAGTCTCAGGCTGAAAGGCCGATACTAGCATTTGTAGACATCTCTTCCAGATGCTTTTATGGAAATGGCTTAAAGAGGAACGTGTGCATGCTGCCACAGTCTGCCCGTCTCCCTTCTATGGAAGCATGCAACACAGGTATATGATAAAAGAACTAAGGGTAGAGATGCTGCAATAGAAAGGATTTTCTTCCTCCTACTACTACCTGTTTAAAATACCAAATTCCCACTTTTTAATTATCATTGTGTTGGGAAGGGTAAAACTCTTGGGTGCCAGCACAAACTAGGGACTAACAACAATACCAGCCAAACATTCTGCTATGTAGATCAAGGTCTTGTTGGGCGGAAACAACAACAGCAGCAGCAGCAGACTCATATTATTGGCACAAACTCAAGCAATGGCTCTCCAGGGTTCCACGTGGGGACCTTCTGCACGCACAGTGTGTTCTACCAGAAAGCCCATCTCCAGAGGATGAAGACAACCACCATGGACAAGATTAAAACTTTAAAACAAAAGCTTGACCTCTTCAGGCCTGGCATGCTACTGCATTTATCCGACTAGGCAGATGTGGGTCCATGGGCTCCTACAATTTGGAGCTACTTCTAGCCAGTTTCAACACCAAAATCACAATCATTTTTCAATGGGCTGGGCCCAGACTTAGGCATACTTAGGAAAGACCTGCTGAAATCAATGGTACAAGTCATAGTTAATTTATCTAGTCAATACTAGGTTACGGCAATGTACTGTGTGTAGGACTGCCCTTAAGGGTGGTTTAGAAGCTAGAACTAGTAAAGAATGTAGCAGCTTGGCTGTTGTCAGGAGCTGCCCTTTTTCAGCGTCCAACCCTTTGCTGAGGAAACTGCACTAGCTGGACCAGGTTTAAGCTTCTGGTACTAGTTTATAAAAACCAAATGATCTGGGACCAGGGTAAAAATGTAAGAAAAGCCAGTAGTGCTAGGAGCCACAGAGAGGGCACCCTCTCCCTCATCCAGCTGCCTGGTCAAAGGTCATCAGATAGCATGCTCCTGGTGTTTCCACATGGACTTATGGCCCCACTGGAGTCCACCGGAAAAAGACCCTTCAGGATGATGGCTCCATTCCTCTGGAACTACCTGCCTCTGGAGGCCAAGGAGGCATAGCTTTGCATTGTTTCCTGTGCCTCCTAAAAACATCCTTATTTCAGGAAACCTTGCTTAGCTGACCAGCCATTGTTGTTTTTTTAATGTAGTGTTTCACTTTCATTATCTTTTTAATTTATTGTTCACCATTCCAGAATCTGTTTAGATGTAGAGTGGTATATACATGCTGTAAATAAATAAATGTATAGTGCTTGGTATAATGAACTCTCTGATGGCTCACATTAGGTTGCACATATAATACAATATATAAGCAATATAAACTGATAAAAACAAAGACCAGAATAAAGCAGAGCGTGTCTAGGAAAGCTTGGGTGAACAAATGTTCTGAAAATTTGTTTTCAAAATGCAACATGGTTTCTCCTCTTGAACCACATGTGTATGAGTCCCATTGACCTGTTGCGTTGATTTCACTAGATCACACAGTCTGGATCCAGCCCAATGTCCTCATAGCTCTTTATTATTAAGGGTAAAACTTGAAGGGCAGAGGCATTTTAATCTCAATGGAATGACGTTAAGCTCTTCCAATACAGTTGGAAGTGATTAATGTCAGATGTTTTCTACTTAAACATACACATGTTTTGTCTCATTTCTACCTTCAGATAAAATTTATTCATTTAAAGTTCTATATTTTTAAAAATTAAAACACTAACTGGCTGGACTGTAGACTTCTATCCATTATCCATGCAGCTGTGATAATAAACTGAAAATCTAGTATTAGGAAATCCTAGGTTGCTTAACATTAAAACTCTCATGACATTTTGACTGGTACATTAATCTGCTACTTCACCACCCAAGATTTGGTGAAAGGAATATGACTTTCTTAAGAGAGCAAGGAGCCTTGAGACCTAATAGAGTTTTGAAAGTTTACTATGAAGAAATAAATTTGTCTACAAATGTGCTCCTAAGGGTTTGGCACAAGTCTCCCTGGATTTAATGGTCATGGTGTGGATGTCAAAGAATCTGGATTTAAAAGAGGACACAAAATAACACAGGAAGCATTTAAGTCATTCAAAGAAAGGCCAATTTAAAGTGTTCTGTCTATCTAGATTCGGCTCATAAAATTACTCCATCTCTGCCTGACAACAAAACAGCCCAATTAGAGAGGCAAAAAAGAAGACATTAATTAGGTGAGTTTCAAAGACTTGAATTGAATGGAACAAACATTCTGCAGAAATGAGGAAACACGCTATGCCCAAAGGCAAAATACACCTAGGACAAGCCATAAAGGTTTTCGGGTATTCCAACTCTGCATACTTTGAACTAATGGCTATTATATACCACCCCAAAGATTACTCTGGAATAATCATGTTAGGGTTATATTAGTGTGCAACATTGTTTCTGAATATGAGACAAGGAAAAGACTTGTATTAAAGTACCTTGGATTTCTTTGAAATGCAAAAGAGGATGATATTCAGATCCAAACACCTTTGATACTTTGTTCAAACAACCACTGGTAAATCCATATGCCATTATGAGCTGTGGACAAAGCCATTCAGATTCAGACCCAAAGCAGGCCCCAGCAACCACCCTTTCCCACCAGTCCTTCCTGACACATATTTCAAGCAAACTTAACTCTCACATGATGAAACCTTATACACCTCTCCTTAAGAAGCTGAGACAATCCTGAGCACGCTTAACAGCAGCAGACCTAGTCCTCCTGTTGTACAGATATTTAGCCCAATATTCAACATCTTCTTTTAGCATCTCTGCAATCGTGAAGGCTAGAAGAGTTGCAATGTTTACAGGGACAGGATGGTGGCTTGCTTTTGGAAGCAATAATCAGGGATTATTCCTGTTTCTTACTCTCTGTTTATATTCAAAGTTAAAAATCATGCCAAAGCTACATGTGAAGCATAATACATATAATATTGGTCTCATTTCTGACCATAAATCTGGCATTTTATACTGCTCTCAGAAGACTTTTGGACTAAGAGTTTATACCCCTCTAAAAGTAAAAAAAGATGGGTCAGCAAGGCCATCTCTCTGGGTTCACTCACTACTCAGACTCAAGGTAAAGTAGGAACTTTGAAAAGATTTCCTGTAGTCCTAGAACAGCCTTCCCCAACCTGGTGCCTCCAGAGGTTTTGGATCACAGTTCCCATCAGCCCAGCTAGAATAGCCAGTTGTGATATATCATCTAAAACATCTGAGGGGGCACTGCAACATGGACTGTTGCCAACTGCCCATAGAATTTCAGCTGTGGGGTAGTACAGAAATGAAATAATTTTTTGAAGTATCCCAAACCATATTTCACAAATGAATTCTTTGAATGAATATAAAAAGAACCCCAGGCCAGCTTTGCCTGATCTGGTGCTCTCCAGAGGTTTTAGATTGTGACTCCCAGCATTCTAACAAGTGGCCTTGTTTGTTGGGGCAGATGGGAGTTGAAGGCCAAAACATCTGGAGAGCACTAGATTGAGGAAGGCTCCATAAGCATGTGCACTGAAGGTTATCTAGGGTCTCCAGAATTTTTGCCAATGAATTAAAGTTCATTTTGAGCAACATCGTATCCTTTAAATGTTTTGGATGAGAACCCCCCCCCCCCATAACCCTTTGCCATTGGCCATGCTGGTTGAGGCTAATGGAAACTGTAGTCCAAAACATTTGGAGGATTTCTGGTGCAGAGCACAACTCATTGTCCTTTGAGAAAGCCATGCAGAAAAGGCTCAAGGGTGCTCTAATTTGAGCTCAAATCCCCCATTCAGACACAAAGTCATAGACTTTTACAAATCACTGCATTCTATCCTCGTTTATAAAGTGGGCACACTTTTCGCTTATATCACAGGGTTCTTTTGAAGATGACAAAGTTCAATTCAAACATTCATGGACTGAGATGTCTCAGTCCCCTCACAGTAGTACTTCACCTGGGGAATATGAAAGCACTCAGACTTTAAAGACACATTTTCCACTGGAATTTATTATCTCAGAGAGAATGTGAGTTCTCAAGCATTCTGCTTGAAGTAGTATGTAAGGAATGAGTTGCACTGAGAGTCACTTTTACACAATTAACTGGACACATGAAACGTGTGCTCCATGAGAAGACAGTAGCACTTTAGTCTGTGAACATTTTAATCAGAATTCTGCATTGGCAAGCACTTTACTTAGCACATTCTGTCCAATAAATACTTGCTAATCCAATGCACATAGCAATTCTTTACAAGCTGCACCAGAAACTTAAAGTGAAGAACAACTTCTGTGAGAAAACGTATTTTTTTCTACTTACTGTACTATCATAATAAAAAGTGCACATACTCGGCTGTTAAATCTTTAAAATCCATCATAATGTCATAGGAATGTGCAGTCTATCTCATCAAAGAACTACAACTTCATGCACTGCGACTTCTTTTTCCTCACCCTGACTTTTCTAAACCACTTTTACAGTTACTGGTCCCCAGTTACAGAACTTAATGCTTATTTCTCCTCTGCTGCTCCTGTACAGACATTCCAGCCCTTCAGTATGACTGAATGGCTGAAGGGAAATTTTCAGAGGAAATAGCTCCTGATGAATCCATGTTTCTAGTAAAAGAGTACGTAGCATTACAAGATTATATCTCAAAATGTATAGGCTGTCTGAAATGCAGTATACACTTGATCTCGTAACTTTAACAAAAGCATTTTATCTAGTCCAGATTCAAATCTCTGGAGGATTCACTTTACAGGCATTGTTTTGTACTCATCAGCTGTTTTATCTTCCCATCCCACCCCACCCCCAAAGATCTGGTAGGTTATTTTTGTCCACTAGATGGTACTATGGTTCCCTTAACAGATCATCTCACTTACTTGCACTCTCTGTCCTCCAAATCAAAGTGAGGATTGAAGTTGATCATAATTCTCTGGTATGGTTGAGGAGCTTGAATCAGCCATTCACATTTTTGGCTTGGATGATAAGTATTAGGATAGCCAGGAGAGGTGAGATAACCAGGCTCTACAATTTTTATATTATCACCACATTTATCTGCAATTAAAAACAAACATATTTCCTATTCAGGTCACACTATTCCATTGATCAATCAGATATTCATACAGTATGTAATTCAACATTTCAGTCTCTGCTTTCTATAACTCATTTCTGCGAACTTTGACTTTTTTGGTGTTTAATTTACTAAAGCACCTTTCTGTGACAGATGGAACCCTATTATCAGCTCCATGGAGCTCTTCTTTGTATCACTTGAAATAGAGAGTCTATCAGAACAGGCAAGCTTTGAAAACTTCTTTAAGGCCTTTGTTACTTTTACAGCATTCCAACAGTTGATGCTTGGAATGTCTAACAGGGATCTGCAAAAGACTTAATTATTACTGGAAACTGTAATGTCATTAAGTAACAAGTTTTCAATGGGGAGAGGCTCAAAGAGCAATGCTGTGCTGCCTGACCCCTGTCCTTAGCTTTCCGATGATAGGCCTGGTCTGTGTCACTTGACAGAGCTTGTCTTTGGAGACCCTTGCTTGTTTACAAGTGATCTTTTCTTTTGGTTTTATCAGACCTTAAAATCTAAGCAATCTGCAGTTATCTGTGCTCTTCAGGACCAGACTACCAAAGAACAAAGTACACAGTACACGTGTCAAAGCAGCTGGTTGGCTCCTTGGAGGAAGTTCCCCACACCCACCCAGCCTGCTTGGCGACCAGATAAAAGGAGCTGATCAGAAAGCCTAGTCAAACAAAACAATCTTTATTTCTAACTGAGGAGTAAGTTCTGCAGCCCTCCAAGTATAAGTAATCTGGTGGCTCCTCTCACAAGCCGTATTAGGGTTAATTATAAAGAATCCTTGCATGATGAAAAAGAGGTAAAGTAATCCAGCCTCCAAGGTCAATTGTTTCAATGCACTGCCACTTTTTGTGATTATAGACTTCTTTCTTACTATACAGCTTCTTCCAATGAAACTTTGCTCAAATATTTCTCCTAACATCAAGCGAATGGGCAAGCATTAATAAATGACACACTGACATATATCACATTTTCTCAGTAATGGCATATGCAAGTTGATATTCTCTATCTAATAGAATTCTTGTGAAATGAAAATGGTATTACTCGTTGATGTGAAGTTCTAAATGTGCAGAATTTTATTACAGGAAAACCAGGTCAAATGGAAATGAAAGATAAAGCGCACATCAAAAATGCATAAACTACTGTCATTATGGGAAACATTTGTCATAAATTAGAAGAAATTGAGATAGTACATAATATGAGGTTGTCTTTTTTTGTCCCATGAATGATCATTTCTGGGTTGGTTATAAGCTACTATTTATTTTTTCCTTGACAGTTTTCATAGCATGTTTCTTTGCTCCAAGAACAAAAGACAATGCAACCAAGAGTTCAAATCTGCAGCCAGTGATACCCATCTTTAAGCCTCCTGCATGTGGTTTCAGAGACAATCTCACATGATTTGCCGTGTGCAGCAGACTTGGAAAAATGATCCCGCCTCATTAAATCCACTCTGGTTCTAGCCAAACAACATGGAGAATTTGGCATCTGTTAAACGAGTGAAATAAACCAGCGCTCCTGCAAGTCACTTGACAGAGTCACTCTAGGAGACATTTAGGTGGGCTCTCTACCAACAGCACTTTCATTGGGAACTCCTGGGAAAGGGAACTTACAAGAAGATACTGCAGGGAGCTGCTAGACTTCTTGGCTCTGTGAAATCTCTCTTGCACTTGATTAAGAGGAGCAGTTTTTAACAACTTTGGGCCATTCATTTTAAATAAGGTTAATGAATTAATTTAGAAGACATGAGTACTGGTCAGATGCACATGTGGCATCTGTGAGTCTGCCAAGTAGCACAACAGGCAACCCTATCGGGGCTATTACATTATGCCTTTAACTGCTCAGGCTGAGTGACAGCTTCGGAGTTTCTTCCTCATAGCCCTTCCTATGCACTTAAGAGAATATTACTTGTAATAGCACAAAGGCATTTGGCACATCTCATTCCACTTTATGTCTTTGGTTCTTCCCTCCTTATTTACTCATACCCATTAACTCAACACTACGGAAGGATCGATGAAGACATACAGCATGATCCTGTTATCCTTGTAGAGAAAGACTTCAGACTGAAAGACACAGTCTAGTTAAATACACTCTTCAAAAAGATCAGGCCAAATGGGATCTTAGGTGAGACGTTCTATGAATGATATACGAATGATGGATCCTTTGCCTCACCACCAGTAGCAGCCCACTCTGGGTCATGATAGCCAGAAAGAGTAGAAGAACAATTTGTTTCTTATGCCAACTTCCTTAATGTGTATTGGAAAAGGATTAATTTGTATCATAAAGTGTGATCTAAATCCCTCCCTGTAAGACTTCACTTGTGGCACCTTATTAAAATGATAAAGCCTCCTAAGTGGAGGCTACTCCCTTCTTTAAATTATTTTGGTTGGAATCCTACTCAGAGTAAAGGAAATTATTTGGTCATTAGTTCATAATAATAGGTCAGGAAATTCCCCAGGAAGGAAAAACCCATAAGAACTTATTTTTAATGTGTGCAAGTTAAATGCCAGTGTTTCCCAGAGTCAGAATTGCTTTAAAATCTGCATAATGTAGGGAGATGTTTTGATGCCATCGCAGCTGGATGGAAGCCATCAAAGTGCTGCCTGCAAGCCACATACGAAGTCAATGCAAGGCGATTCCTCTCTTAGAGCTGCTGTCTGTGAATAGCACCTTAGATCCCCTAGACTGAGACAGTAAGTATCCTTTCAGCTTTTATTTCAGTATAGAGAAAGATGAGGAGAAAAGCTGCAAAAAGGTGTCTGCCTGTTCATAGTTAGATGGTCACATTCATCTTTCTCAGCTTCCATTCCCTCCAAAAAAAAGTCTTGTCTTTGAAGTGCTCAATACCTGTCCCTTTTAATAAAAGGAGAATCTTGTGCAATTGCCAATGGGAGGAAGCATTAATATAATTGGCTACCTTGATCTTGTGAAAGCCACCAGCCCTGTCTCATTCGGTATTGTAGGGAAGATGACAGACAGCCTGTGATGAATGGGCGTAACTCAGGGGGACTATCCAGGGCTTTACTTATTAAACTTGTTTACTGGTTTTACTTAGGTTTCCTTCTACCCAAAGCCTGAGACACCCAGGCTAAAGCCCGTTTCATGGCTGGCTTAACCTGTAAAGGAGTAGCCAGGTAAAGGACGCTCTGCCTGCCGCTACCTGGGTGCACCTGAAAGCTACGGTGTGTCACTCACCACTCTTCAAAGCCCCGCCAAGCGTCACGCTGAAGGCTACCCAGTGCAGGAAGAGTTCCCAGTCCATCTTCCTTTCTCTGCACGGAAGGACTGATGAAAGAGACTAAAGAAAGACAGTATCCCGTCTCAGCAGACAATTCCTCTTAGATCTAAAATCCTCTGGTAGGGCCGGTGAAAAAGATCAGAAAGCTGGCCGGGCTGCGGCGCAGCGGGAGCTGGAGAACCGGCGGCGGCGGCGGCGGCACCAAGAGTTCCGTCGGTGACCAAAGCGCTTCTCTGCTTCGTGTGTGTATCTCCTCAAGTCTCCAGCATCCTGTCATTTAGCTCCGGTTTCCTCTGCCTTTTCCCACACTTGTTCTCTTTCCAGGCGTCACTGCCCCTGCCATTTCCAAACAGGCGTTTAAAAAACAAAACACAAACACGCTGGGAAAACTAACAAGGAAGTCGCGGCGGAGGAGGGGTTGTGAAAATCCTGTGCGGCTCTCTGAGCCCAGTTGGTTGCAAAACTCTCCAGCAGAAGGAAGGGCTCACCGCGGAGCGACGGGTGCCGGGCTGTTGCGCGGGGAAAGAAGGGAAAGCGCTGGTGAACGAGGAGGAGGAGGCGACTTTCTGCCCAACTTCATCCCTCCCTCCTGCCCTCTTAACCTCGCGATCGGCTCGCCCGTCGCGGAAGGAGGGGCGCGGCGACCCCTTCTTGGCAGCGAGATCTGCTCGCCGGGAGGGTCGAGGTGCGCGTTCTGCTAAGGGGCGGTGGGCTCGCCAGTCCCCAGGCAGCTAAGCGAGGCGGCACCGCCTCTGCCTGCGGTAATCCAGCCTAGTGGTGGTCGTGGCGGTGGGAGAACGGAGCAGGAGCGCCAAGCGGCCGGGCGGCTCCTTCCCGCAGCCTGAGAAGGAGAAGCGCAACTCAGTGGCAATAAGAGCGGAGCCGCCGACGTCTCCGAAGCCCAAGTCCCCTCCCCGCCCCGCCCCTCCCCACCTCCCCGGAGGAAGGATCAACAAACAACAAACAGAGCAAACCGGAGCGCCCCGAAATTCACCCGGGGGGTGGGGGGCGGGGGAAAGCGGAGAAGGGGTGGGGGGCCGCGCGAGGAGGAGGGACGGACCGACGGAGGAGGAGGGCGGCAGGAGCGCGCCGGCAACAAGAGGCGCCTCTCCGCCTCCGCCTTCTCCATCGGTGCGCCCCAAAAGAGGGGAAAGTCTCGACGCGCCAGGTAAAGCCTGGCGAAGCCGGCGGGGCGTAAGGCGGAGGCGGGCGAGCACTGCACCTCCACGGAGGGAGGGGAACTCAGCGCCCGCTCTGCCACCCACGCTCCCGGCACGCACCCTTGGCGCGGCCGGGGAGGGGGCCAACGCCATCTGGGCGTCACGCCCTTTCCTCCTTCACTCTGAGGTGGGCAGCGCACACGCCGCATCTTCCGAGCCGGATTGGCGGAATGCTCAGCGCAGCAGCGCTGCCTGCGTCCAACGCGCTGCGGGGCAGCGCTCGGAGATGTCAGGTAGCCCCGCTACCTGCAGGTGCCAGCAGTCTCGTCACGGGCACGCCTGCCAACTGGGCTTCCCTTGCCCGCGGTTCATGGTGCCCAGTTGGGCGCTTTGTTACCATTGATCGCCACCTTCTCTTTCCCTCCCTGCTTATCCTCATCCCTCTCCGCGCGCTGATCAGTGATGCCCACCGGGCGCAGCTCAAGGAATAGGCTCGCTACTCCTCTGCTCGTCAGGTCCCCACTCCTCGGGAGTCGCGCGCTCTCACCTCCAGCGCGCAATTATTAACAGGCTGGCGTTATCTCTCGCTCCCTGTTGCGCGCCGTCTTCTCGCCGCCGCCTGTTTCTGGCACTTTGGCTACGCGCTCCCCATCTCCGCCCCGGCCGCTCGCAACACGCCCCCGGGGTTCGTCCCCAGGCAAGGCAAGGCAAGGCATGACTGGACACGCACGACCCGTGGCGTATCTGATCTCCCTGCTGGGAACCTCGCAGAGCGCCCTGTCCCTGCTCATTATCATCGCCCCATCCCAGGCAGCCCAGCCTCGGGCGAGTGCTTTGCCCACCGCACCGCGCGCCGTCTCCCGGAGCTAGGGCTGCCTGGCTGGGCTCGCCTGCTTGGGCTGGCCTCGTGCTCGCCATGAGCTGTCCAGCAGCAGCCGCGCGCCAGGCTCGTCCGCCCCCAGGGCGCATTGCTTGCACCCGCCCGTGGCCGCCGCGTGTATCCAGCAACGCGAACATTGTGCACCGGCACCGTATTCTCTTCTCCCAGCGCGCGCCGTCCCTGGGCCGATCGCTAGCTCGCGGGCACTCCCCGGGCACAGTGTGGGGCCGGCGTGACGCTTTTTGCCCGCGAAACCACCCCCCGCCGCTCTCCACCGCGCGCCTCGCGCCCCTTTCTCCGTTCGCCATCTGCTTCCCGCCTCTTCTTTCCTCCACCTCCTCTGGAGATCTCTGGCAATCAGGGTGGCGGGAGCGCGTGTGGGAATGTATTTGTGTCAGCATAAACTCAAGCCCCAGGCGAGGCTCCCTCCGAAGCGACGCCGCAAGTTTCTCTCTCCACACTGCCCCCCCGCCCCCAGCCTCTCAGTGCCCGCGCAGACACCCCGAAGGAGGCAGGTTGTCCCTTCGGAGAGAAATGCCACACTTTCCCTCAGCGCTTCCCGACTTTAACGAAGGAGATCGGCGGGCACGCCAGGACAAGAAAGAGCTCTGTGCGAGAAGAAAGCGCCAGGCAATGAGCGGCCAGTCTGGGCGACCGCTCGTGGCGAGCAGACAGAGCTAACTCCTCGCGTCTTGCCTGGCGCTGAGCGCGGCGCGCTGCTAGGAGGAAAGGCGAAGCCGCTTCCCCGCCCTCCTCTGGCCTCTCTGAAGGGGAGCGGCGGAGAAATGGATAGACGTCCAGTGGCGGTCGTGCGCCCAGAAGAGAGGGAGGGAAAAGGCGTGGCTCCGAAGTTACTGACCACCTCTTGGTTGAGGGCGCGCTCTCTTGGCCACGAGGCTAAGCCGCCAGTTCCCTTTCCGGACGGGGGGTAATATCGAGTGGTCCATCATCTCAACAAGTGTTGGTGGAGGCAGTGGCCACCGAGAGCAGAATCGGCTTGCCTCCTTGGCGGGCGCGCAGGTCGTTCTTGGCTCAGGCAAAAACATTTGTTTGGCAGGATCAAGTATGGCCGACTTCTCCTGGGTGAGAAGGGAAGGCTGTTCAGGAACGACCTTCGAAATTCATTGCTCTGTTTGAGGGCCGAGAAACGGCAGCGGAGCGTGGGGGACAATTTCACCCCTTTTTGCTAGCTGGAGCAGGAAGAGGTGGGTTAACTAACCCCTGGCAGCGGTCACAGCACTGCTTCTTCCTTTCTTCTTAAGATTCGGCGGGGGGAGGTGCTGGCCCTGCAGTGGGCAGTGGCACGAACTCACTTGGTGGCTGGTCTCCGTTTTGCTTCTGCCACAAAGCGGGTTTGGAGGGGCAGGGTGGGGTTCTGCCCAGGGAAGAGTTGGAGGTGCTGCTGAGCCAAACCCTGCCATTTCCTGAAAAAGGCCTCCATTGTTCTGCCTCGTCCTTCATATTTGTGTGGTGGAAGGGCTGCAGAGGGTAGTGTGTGTTTGCTTTCTGTCACACACCTTTCTGCTGTTCTGCAGCTTCCCAGGCTGCCTGCGCTTCCTAATCTGAAAAAATCCTATGGGAAGAATAACTTCCTGAGGGCTTCCCTGGGCTTTAATTGAAATGTGGACAGGACACTGCAGACTGCTGAAGCAATGATTGTATCATTAAAAAGAAGACACTTGCACACCCCAGAAAACAGTAAGGTAAGCACAAGAAACCCAAAGAATTGGCCCATAAAATTTTCTCCAAATTATTCCATTACTATCCAATTGAATGAGAATGGTTGAAAAAGATGCGAGACATTTTTGGTGAAGTGCTAATTAAGGTACGTGGATACAGTATGAACTATATCTTCCTGTATGAAGGCAGGCCTGTGGCATAGGACTTATTCCTGGGCAAGTGGATATAGGATTGCAGCTGACGTGCATTAATGCATTTGCTTCTCATAAAATGGGCAGATCTGGCATCTTTTGCAGACAGCTGCTACTTCTATGCTATAGGGACACTTGGATGTGCAGAAGCATATGTGTGTGATTCATTACTTTTAACCATCCTGAGCACATTTCAAAGTGAGAACAGCAGAATTTTTTAAAAGCAAAATCCGCCTGATTCAATGAGTGTGCATACTCCATAGCAAAGAAAGCACTCCTAGAACTCTGGCTGAGGAAAACAATTGTCTGACTCCATCAATGACTGAAAATAAATATAAATAAAAAGGTAGTTTTTCAGCAAAGTTTGGAAGAAGTACCTAGGGAATACGGGGGGGGGGATATATTAACAGGGGCCACAAAAGACATAGGAGGGGTCTCTCCATCATGTGTTTCTATTTTTAAAAGGTAAGACATGCTTAGCTGGAACTCTGATTCCTTTTTCAGATCCACTAATAATTAAATTGCTGTCCTTACACATGAGACTTGTAACTGTGTTTGAAATAATTTTCAGTTGTAACAGTTGTCAGGTTTAGGTAGCACCACTACAATTTGTGATTGTGTTCCAAAATCATAGGTAGCATACGTGTCTCTTCACTTTCTTTTGTATGCTGTCTTAAACCCACCAAATCTGAAGATGCTCTTAACCCAAGCCTTTTCCTGTGCCCCTTTGAGCAAATTCTTCCCTTACTCTAGGGCCCAACAACACCCCCTTTTCACATTACAATATAGGTCACAAGCAAACCTTTGTAAGTTGATTGGAGCACCTGAGTTTTAGGCACTGGATCAGATAGTCTCTTTATTGACTCCTGTCCAATTACATCTTAATCTGTCATCAGTTTATGCCATTATCTTGTCAGTCTCTTCCATTTTCTTCAAACTGTGTTTGCACAGCTTACCCTTGTCAAATTCTGCTGTCTTACAGTCAGGCAAGGTGGTGGGCTCATTCCCAGCCTTGTCTTCTTAACTCATCTTCAGCCATGCTGTGAGTCCATCATATGCAGTACTTCTGCATTTGCTGGCTAGACAGTGATACATATTTTATAGAAAGTGCATCAAGTTTGTTCTGTGTTTTTCCTAAGTGACGCTCAGATAAGTTGGCAATGGGTTAACACAGTGCTGTTAAGTGAACTTTCTCTATAATACAAACCAATGAGTTGGAGCTTTCCATATAGTTGCCAGCCTAGCATTTTCTGCAGCTTATGACTGAGGAAGCATATCCAATGTTAAGGCAGCAGTTATTTAAAGGGGGATTTTAAATATGTGTGCTAAACAGCACCAGAAGCTTATTTAGGTATCGTTTCACTTACTGAGCAGACATCTGGAGAATAAGTGTGTGGTATTAAAAAGTTATACCTATCATCTGAAAATCATGGTTTTCTTCCTCTTCACTTAGTTTGGTTCTATCTTGTAGCCTCTCTGAAGCCAAGTGAGAATAAATGAATACTCAATCACAATATACAAAGTTACTTTAAACTAAAACCCATCTGGCTTTTGGTGATAGCTTTTTTCTAGGTTTTGCAGTATGATCTTGCTTTTTTATAGTTCTTGTGCTCTTATGCTTTGCTTATTTTATAAAATAGCTTTAACTATAGAGACAGTTCTGACTAATCATATGTCCACCATTTCAGTCACTTTGATCAGTGACTCCATAGAATTGATTCTAATTTGGTATAAATGGTTTCTAAATGCACATTAGGGCCAGAGGTACATCCACCTGCTTGTGTTTTCACGAGGCTCTATCCCTAGAGCCTCTGGCTCCAGCTGTGCAAATACCCCTCAGTAGTCACTCAGACAGAAAGTGGGGGCAGGAAGCAGATGTGTAGAGAACTTAATTCCAGTAGTGCAGAGCTACTAACAGTCCCACATACTGCAGGGGAGGTAA